GGGGGGGGGGGGGGGGGGGGGGGGGGGGGGGGGGGGGGGGGGGGGAGTAATCCAGGGAGGTACCAGCACCAAGAGGCAGGCGCAGGACAATGGAAAGGGCCTGACCCTGGGTGGGACACCTGCTCTACCCCAAGCCTACTGTGTGCCTCTGGCCCAGCCACACCCGTCTCTGGGCCACCATTTCGTCTCAAAAGTGAGCGTGTGGCCCCTTCTAGCTCTGACTTTCTGGGATTTTTATGGCCAACAAGCCCAGCCTAGGGGGTTTCTTCCTTGTTGCAAAGGCAAAGGAGGCTGTGGCAGAGGGGACACCCAGAAATAGCCCCTACAAAACCACCCCAAAGCCCAATGTGCCCTGGCAGGAGCCTCCAGTGGGAGACGTGACCAGGCCAGCCTTGAGCCCCAGGGAAGGGGAGAAAGAATCCGGTCCTCGGAGGGGCCCTGGATTAGAGGGAGCAGATTCCAGGGTCTGGGGCCTTGGCCTGTGCGTCCTGAATCCCGGGGCCTGGCTCTGAGCAGTGACCCGTGGGTGACAATGGACAGAAAGTCTGTCTGATCTCACCCTGTGGTGAGGCACGCGGGGCTACAGAGCCCGGGGTCCAGACTCCAGCACTTCTCTCACCTCCCTGCCTGGGGCAGGGAAGGTGAGGCCTCTGTGGTTCTCCCAGAATCCCCTAAGGGGCTGAGAAAGGCCAAAGGCCTCTTTTTCTGGAGTCCCAATCCTGGGCTAAATGCACTTGGGAGGAATACACTGGTTCTGAGCCTACATAACCTCCCTTTTCTGGGCCTCAATCTCTTTCACTGCAAATTGGGCATAACGAGGTTTGCTCTTTGCCATTTCAAGAAGGAGGAGAGAGAGCACAGCGCCGGGAGACAGAGGAGCCTGCTACAGGCACGCCGTCCCTGGGCCGTATGATGGGGGGTTCCAGGAGACGCAGGGAGCCCCAAGCAGAGGCACCTGACCCCCATCCATAACCCGACCATTCCTCCATCCTGGCACAAGTGTGGCAAAGGGCAGCTGCGGTAGGGGCAGCGGTGGGACTGCTGGGAGAGCCCCTGTCCTGGGGGGCCCCACCTCAGGGGGGGCCTGCCTCCGAGTTCCCTTCCTGCTCTGGAAGTTCCCAGTTCCTGGATCCCCAGCTTTGAAGATTCTAGAGCTCTGGACTTCTGAAGCTCTAGAACTCTGAGTTCCTGATCCCAAGGGTCTGCTCTGGAGTTCTAAGCTCCCCAGGCTTGTAGGAGTCTAAGGTTTGAAGACTCTAAAACCCTCTTGGTCTCACATTCTAAAGTTTGTTGTTTAGTTAAAAAACAAAACAAAACCAAACCCAACTGGAGGTTGTTGCCCTTGTGGTCCACTGAAACCCCCAGGTCTTCCTCATGTGAACTATGTTCCCACCACAGATGAGTGAGGGGCGCTTCTCCACTGGAGTCCCTTCAGTAACCCGCCCCCCATCCTACCCCCTCCCATACCTTGGACCAGGAGTTCTCTTTGCTGAGCAGGTCGGCGTAGAAGTAGGCCATCTTCCACTGGCATTTGTAGGTGAAACACCACATGAGCTCCCAGTAGCACATATGGTGGAACTGCTTCCAATGCTGCTGGGCCTCACAGCACTCCTCGAAGCGCTGGATGGCCTGCGGGGGACAGACGGACACGGGTGGGGGCCCAGGCCTTCAGCCACTGCCTGCTCCCCTCTCCTGCCCTCTCCTCCCCAGGGCACGGCCTGCGGGGGACACACGGACACGGGTGGGGGCCCAGGCCTTCAGCCACTGACTGCTCCCCTCTCCTCCCCAGGGCACGGCCCGCGGGGGACAGACGGACATGGGTGGGTGCCCAGGCCTTCAGCCCCTGCCTGCTCCCCTCTCCTCCCCGCTCCTCCCTGAGCCTTGGCCTGTGGGGAACAGATGGGGGGCCCTCAGCTGCCTGCTCAGCCCCCCTCTTTCCCACCTATCTTTCTGGGGTCTTTGCCCACCTAGGCCTCATGTTCTGCTGTACTAGGAGGTATCAGGGGAAAAAACAGCCTGAGAGGTAAGAAAACTGGGACTAGTCCTGGTTCTGCCACCTAACTGCTAATCACTTCCTCCTCCGGGCCTGGGATTTGCCCAGGGTCACATAGCTAGTGAACGTCAGAGGTCTAATTTGAACTCAGGCCCTCTTCTTCAGGACCAGTGCTTTATCCACTGCGCCCCCTAGCTGTAGTTCTTTATAATATATATTTTATATTATAATAAATAAATATAAGATATAAACATAAAATATTTTTTAAAAAACAAGTTTACATATTCTAGATTAAGAAGCCCTGGTTTGGAGGATGAGCTCTAAAGACACATTCAACGTCCTAAACCTCTGATTCCAAGACTCTCGATGGGGGAGGGGAGAACCTTTGGAAAAGGGGCCCAGGCCATTTCAGGATTCCTGACAGAGAAAGAAGAGAAAGCCAGGCACACACAGCCACGTGTGTGAGCCAGGGACTTGGGGACAGCAGATTTCAAGGAGTCAGAGAAAGGCCAGGTGGACCCCATGGACAACCCAGAATTCTACAGGGGAAGTCAGACCACGAGGGGCAGGTGGTGGGAGGTGTTCAAGAAAAATTCTGAAGACACAAAGGGAGAGGATTCCAATGAGGAAGCAAAGGCCAAATCCTCCAAAGAGACCAATGTGCACGTAAACCAGGAACTCAGTCTATAGAGTTTAGATTTTTAAAAGACAAGTCCAGAAGACGGAAGCAATCGCTGGTAATAGGATGAATGTGAGAGCCCAGAAATCCTGGATCAATGGGGTCGGAGTATGAAACCTCAAAATGTGCTAAGGGTGACGGAGGAGCTGAGGACCACCAGAGGGGGCTTTGAGAGTTACACTGGGGAAAAGAGGAGGGTCAAAGAAGGGATGGGACGAGTGGGATGATGAGAGTAGACAAGGCAGAGAAGGTAGAACGCCTCAATTCTTACGTCATTTCTGTTTCCTCTCCTAAGGAGAATGATCTCTGGACTGGAAAAAACAGACCAGAAGGGTTCACGGAGAGCTGAAATCCAAGATGGGTAAGGATCTGATCATAAGATATCTCCTGGCTTCCCTCGATGGGTTCGAGGCACAAGGCCCTGACAAACCCGTCCCAAGGTGCTGAAAGACTTGGGAGATGTGAATCCTGAGCCACTCTCAATGATCTCTGAAAGACCGTCAAGAGAGGAAAGATGCCATCGTCATGGGGATGGGCAAATGTCCTAGTTTCCAAAAAGGAAAGAGGATGGAGTTGGTAGTCATGGAGCTTGGCTCCGGCTCCTGGCAAAATTCCAGGATGTAATAGTAAAGGGAGGGTCTGAGCATTTAGAAGGGACGTGGCCATCACGAAGAGCCAGGATGGCAGCAGCAAGAACAGGTCAGGTCAGGTCGGACTTGCTTGGTTCTCGTGTAACAGAGTAAGTGGCAGATCAGGAGAAGGCTGTGCTCTCGGTATCCTTGGGTTTTAGAGAGGCATTTGACGAAGCCTGCTGTCCCTCTGGGGGACAAGACAGAGATATGTGGGCAAGGGGAAGTGAGGCAGGATAGTGGAAATAATCCTGGATTTGGAGTCACAGAATCTGGCTTCAAATCCGGGCTCTGCCACTTTACTACCTGTGCGACCTTAGGCAAGTAAATTCATCTCTCTGTGCCTCAGTGTCCTCACTGAAAAAATCAAGGGAGAGATGGACTTGATGAAGCCCCTCCCTGCCGAAGTTTCCTCCAGTTCTAAACCTACAATCCTATGACTTAGAATTGGCTGAATGGTCAGATGCCAAAAGTAGTCATCAATAAGACCCTATCGGCTTGGAAAGAGGCCTCGAGTGGAGGGCCTCAAGGATCCGCTGTATGAAAATGGTCGTCAGCGACTTCGACAAAGACCTCGATGGTACACTCATCATGCTTTCAGGTGAGACAAAGCTGGGAGCAATTGCTAATAGAAATGACAGAGGCCAGACCACCGCCTGTCAGCAAGGTCAGTGAGGGTTTCCCTTCAGGTCTGGGCTGGTCTATATGCCGCTGACGTCACCGGCCCCTTCTTACTCTGAGACACCGTGGTTCTAAGACTTTAGAGCTCCGATACACTAACGTCAGGTAAGTGCCCAAACAATGATGCCATGATGATGGGATGACAGGTCGGGGACCCCAGGCCGTAGTCAGAACTCACAGATGAGATGGGGCACAGTGCACAGCACCTTAGACTGGCTTGGCTTTGAGCCCTAGCTCTGACTCTCTCTCACACTGTGACCTCAGGTAAATGACTTCACCTTTCCAGGCCTCAGTCTCCCCAACTGCAAACTGAGGATAATATTCATGCTCTCTACTTCCCAGCCAGTCAGGAAGAAAGTGATTTACGCAACTTTAAAGCACTACAGGTACGAAGGCCTAGGTATTTGTTAATTATCATGATCATTTCTATTAATTATTATTGGCAGGTCATTATTGCTTGCTCGGTGCTGGGGATTTTGGAGAGCCACTGAAAAGGGTCCCCCTCTCCTCTCCATGGCCTTCAAGGCCCACTTCCTCCATACCGCTGGCCCTCATCTCACCCCCTCCCAAACTGCTATGTGCCGACCAGTCTTACTGAGACTGGGAACTTCCCTGAGGGCAGAGTCTGGACGTTCTCCCTCCTCCTCTGGTCTCTCCTCTAGGAAGACCTACCTTTGCTCTGGGGCAAGGCCAATGTTTGTCTGGCCTCCCCACCCCAGCCCTTTGGGGACTGACCACTGCCCATTCTGGCCCAGGAGAGGCAGCGTGGTATAGTGGTCAGGGCACTGGAGTCAGCTACCACCTCAGACACATAATAACTAGGTGATCCTGGGCAAATCTCTAACTCTCAGCCTCAGTTTCCTAATCTGTAAAATAACAACTGTCATTTCCATAGCACTTTAAGACTGGTAAAGCGCTTTACATTTTGTATCCCATTTGATCCTCACATCCTGCTGTTATCCTCATTTTACAGATGAGGAAACCAAGGCACATAGTGGTTAAGCGACTTGCCCAGGTTCACTCATCTAATAAGTGCCCAAGGCAGGTCTTCTGACTCCAAATTTACAGCTCTGTCCACTGTGCCCCCCCAGCTGCCTCAATCTAAATCTATGGTCCTAGGCCCCCAGAGGCTTCGGCTACTCACTGTGTCAATGTGGCCCTTGATGGCTTCAATCCGGCCGGCAAAGAAGAGGAAGATGGCTCCCTGCAAAACAGGAGCGCCCACAGAACACCCTTGACTAGGGGAAGGATCCCAAAGAAAACCCTGATGCTGCCTTGGGTCATCTGAAGACCATCACAGGGAACAAGGGACAGAACTGTTTTGCTTGACACCAGACCCAGGACTAGTGGAGTTCAAATACCCTGGAGTAATATGAGAAAGCTGTTTCACAGTGGGTAATGAGCTCCCCACCACTAGAGGTGTTCAAACAGAGCCTGTGTGATCTCTCCTCCTGCACTGAGTGGGAAGTGGGCCAAGGCCTCTAGTCCCTTTTAACTCGGGATTCTATGAGTGCTAAGGGAAGCTCCTGGGCCCACAGTTCCTGGCCTGGGGGGGACACGAGGGACTGGAGAGAGAACTTACTTTGGGGTAACGTTTCAGGTAAGGCTGGAGGAGCTTCTCGGCCTCTTCAATGTTGACATTCCCAGTGCCTGCCATGGTCCCAAGGAGAGAGAAAGGTTCAAGGTCAGAGGTGAGGACACTATTCCACACCCCCCCACCCTACCCTGCAGCAGCTGGTGAGCCCAGGAACCCAGCACCAGGGGTGGGGAGTCATAATTCCAAGGGCAGGGCTACTATGTTTCCCCTTAAGGTGCTAGCGATTACCCCAAAGGAGACAGGACTGTGTTTCCAATTATATAGCTCATGAGCCCCCATCGGTGTGCTTCCCACTATGATTATTAGATGAGAATCATAGTCAGCCAGACTCAGTTGGCTTTTAGAAAGAAGTATTTACTGAAGTGGTATAGTGAGACCAGTTGGTACAAAACCCTCTCCCCCAAGTCTTTGGTGCACCTTCCCAAAAAGACATAATTAACTTAATGAATTCTTTATAAAAGTTTGCCTACTCCTCCCCCTAACCTTAGGCCCAGGAACTAGGATGGGGAACTGAGGACGCAGGGGAAGGATGAGGATGCAGAGGGTACATCTTCTTACCAAGCACGAAACTGAGGAAGGTGTGATAACAAAGCAGCAACATGGTACAGAGCACAGCCCGGAAGCTGTGCACAGAGGCTCCCTCCTCCAGCTGCAGCAGCCCATAGTCCTGAGCAGGAGTGAGACGAGAGTAAGAGAACCAGGGAGAGAGAAGGCAGAGAGAGACGGAAGGGGGAAGGAGAAAAGGGAGAGGGAGGACTGAGAGACAGAGGTGAAATAACGGTGAGAGAAAGGGGGAATAGAAGGGAGAGGGGATGAAGAGAAGAACAATAAAGAGAGAAAGGAAATGAAAAGGAAGAAAAGAGGAAGAGAGAAAACATCCAGAAACAAGAGGAAACGGGCAAGACCAAAGGGAGGGAGGTGAGAGACTAGGAGGGAAAGTAAAGAAGCAGGAAGAGAAGAAAGCACCACCAGACAGAGGGGGAAGGAGGGGAGAGGCCCTCCTGGGGTGCTAGCTCGAGAGCCAGAAGGAACCAGACACCATCTGGTCCAATCCCCTCATTCTGCAGACCAGGAAACCGAGGGCAGAGAGGCTAAGTGATGCCCAAGGCCATTCAGGATACGTGGAGAGCTGGGATTTGAACCCAGGTCCAACTCCAAATTTAACCAGCTTTTCCACAGTTCCACACAGAAAATGGCGGGGGGAGGCGGAGGTGAATGCCCAGTATAAGGAGGCGAGCTTAGTTCTAGGCCCCACGGTTTAGGGGGGCTATTGGTCAGATGGAGAGGAGGGAGAACAGTTCAGACAGGGGTCTTGTGACCATGCCATAGGCAGAGGAGTTGAAGGAAGTGGGGGAAGACCTGGGCGGACATGAGAGCTGTCTTTGAGCGTTTGATACAGCTACCACTGACTGTTCTCTGGCCCCCAGCACAATTACAAGGAAGAAGAATTTCCTAACAGCTGTCCAACACCAGAACAGGCTGCCTCATAAGGTAGTGTGTTTCCTGTCACTGGAAGTATTCAAGCCAAGGCTAGATGACCACGTTATCAGGGTTGCCACAGCAGGGATCCCTGAGACCCAATGATATCAAATGATTCCCCTTCTAGTTCTGAAACCCTCCAAGCTCCTGGTCTCCTAGCTGGGAAGAAGGGAGGGCAGGGATGGAGACCATGTCAGAGCATAGGAAATGGGGCCATTCCCTCTTGGAAAATCCCCAAAAACAAGAATTGGGAAAGACTCGGAGGTTGTCTCATCCCTGCGGCCCTGCCCTGCCTCCTCCCAGGGGTGAGGACTAGGTCATCTCCAAGCCTCTACTTCCAGGGAGCCCTCGACAGGAGACCCCAAGACCCAAAGCGGGGGTTTTGCCTGATTTAATTTTCTTTTTTTTTCTTTTTTTTTAGTTTTTAGGCAATTGGGGTTAAGTGACTTGCCCAGGGTCACACAGCTAGTAAGTGTCAAGTGTTTGGTCTGAGGCCAGATTTGAACTCAGGTCCTCCTGACTTCAGGGTCAGTGCTCTATCCACTGCGCCACCTAGCTACCCCCTGATTTAATTTTCACAAATGACAAATGCAACATTTGCTCCATGGACGGCTATTCTAGCGAGGCTGGACCCAGAAGGGCCCCGCTGGGGCCAGGAAGGAACAGGGAAGGGGGCCCTGCAGGCAGCCAGGGTGGCAGAGAGACTTTAAGGCACTTGTAGCAGATTCTTTACCTTGTTTCCAGAGAAGCCCACGAATTCCAGCAGCCGCAAGATCCTGGCAGGAAGCATGGACAGTGTCTGAGGAGTGGGAACACAGGTGAGCAGAGGTGGGAGGGAAAGGTCTCAGCCTGATTCCAGGGCTCTCTCTGCTTCTCCACCCTCCTGCGGTAAACTCTCCCCCACCCACCTGCAGACATCACCCTCTTCCCTCAGACTGAAACCCACACCATAGTGTGTGTTAGGGAGGGGACTGTCTAAGCTGTTGGTCAGAAAATCTAGGACCCTGTCTCCAGAAGGTCCCTACAGGAAAGAATGTACCCCACCAGTGCTACCTGGGAGTGGAGGGAGGCCCCTCCATTAGCCCCAGAGCCCATGTCATCCATCCAGTGAGTGAGGAGGGCTCACGTCAGAGACGTGGAGCCAGGACAGGTGTTAGGGAGGGCAGGGAGGGAAGAGCAGAGCTGAGGGCCAGAGGAAGGAGGGGGCTAAGGGGGCATGAGAGACTGGGCCAGAGGGGGCAGCCAATGTCAATAATCATCCAAAGAAAAGTCATTCACTGTGTCCATGGGCCCTCTACTTTACTAGGGGTCTTCAAAGCTATATCACACTGGGCTGATCCTCCCAATAGCCCTGGGCATGGGCAGGGCACAGATGGTCAGCCTCCTGCTGCTGCTGAGGAGATGGAGGCCCAGAGATAGGGGGTGACCACTCTCCCCAGTGTCACACTGTGATTAGTAGCACATACCAGAAGAGAAGCCAGGCCTCCTGAGGCCCAGGCCAGCACGCTCGGGTTCCAGGGATGCCCCAAGAAGTCCCCTCCCTCTCCACCCCTTCACCCCTCCCATCACCCTCAAGTCTAGAAATTCACTACTATTTTTATCAATCGATCAAATATTTGTTAAGCGCCTACTATGTGCCAGGAACTGCGCTAAGCACTGGATTTAATCCCTTGGAGTTTCTATTGCCCTCTCCTGGTGGTTGGTCCTCTAAAAAGAAGAACTCACAGGTTTATACCAGGCTCCTGCCAGGGAGGCCAGGCAAGATTGACAAGTAAGTGATGAGGCTGAGATCTGAACCCAGGGCTTCCCAGGGTTCTTCCCACTCTCCCACTGCCTCCCAGGTGGGCCTGAGGAAAGGGCGAGGGGTCAGACCCACCCAGCCACCTACTGGCTGTGTGACTTTGCGCGAGTTACCTCCCTGGGCCTCAGTTTTCTCATCTGTAAAACGAAGGGTTTGGCCTAGATGCCTGTGGAGGTCCCTTCCAGCTTTCAGTGTGGGATCTTATCCTCCATAAGCAGCCCTTCCTTGGGCGAGCGGCACAGACCAATGAGGAAACAAGCCGCTTGGTCACTAGACCGTCAGCCGATCCTTCCCGTCTCCACCACACCCTCTGAGCTGGGGGGAGGACACACAGCTGCTCCACGTGGCACCAGAGAGCCTCGTCCGCACTACCCTAGTTACTGCGTGGGAGGCGGCCCGTTTGGCTCACTTTCCTGCGCCATGCTGCCCTCGGCATCCCTGATCTCCCCCAAAGAGCACCTGTGGGGCTGGGCCTGTGTGGGCCCTTCTGAAATGTCTCCTGTCTGTGAATCTTGCCACCCCAACTAGAGGAAATGCTAGGTTCTGAGGGCACGGGCCTGGGCACATAAGAGGGACTGTGTGAACCTTGGTGACTGATAACTCATGGGTGGGAAACTGAGAGTGAAAAAGGTACAGTCACCTTGTGTCACCTGAGAGAAGCCCAGCCCAGCCCTGGACGTGTGAGTGTGGAAGGGGAGGGGGCGGGGAAGAGGGAGAGGCAGGCAGGTTTCCCTGGGGTGGGGGGGGGGCTGGTACTTACCAAGTTGAAGGCGCCCACACCAAGCTTCACCCCTCCTTCAAAATGGCTGTGGTTTTCCCCCTTCGAGTAGGTGGAGGACTGTACCAGGCTGTCCAGCTCCCTAGCCACACAAAGCCTCCATTCAGTTCTAGGTTATGGGGGGGTCAGTTGGGGCTGCACCACCCCAACCCAGCCCTCGCTCCAGCATGAGACCCTGAGACCTGGATGGTTACAGCAGCCTTAGAAAGGGGTGCCTAAGAGACCTCAGGACAGCTAACATAACATGAGTCACAACAGATAATGATGATGCTAATAAACAGCAGGCATTTACACAGCAGTGCCTGCTTTGTGCTCAGTACCGTGCTAAGTGCTTTGAAAACAGCTGAGGGAACTGAGGCATGCAAAGGTGAAGTGCCTTGACCAAGGTCACACTGCCAGTAAATGTCTGAGGCCAGATCTGAACTCGGGGCTTCCTGACTTCATGCCCAGTGCTGGGCACACTGTGCCTGGATGGAACCTTAGAATACAGAATATTAAATTATCCTTAGACTGTCAGAGCTGGGAGGGGGCTTCGAACACAAAGCACAGAATGTCAAAGCTAAGAGCAGGTTCAGAACACAGAATGCATGACGCTGGGGTGGGGCAGACCTTAGAACACAGACCAGCAGACTGAGGAGGTACCTTCAGGCTTGTCTAGGTCCCCTTCCTCCCATTCTGCAGAGGAGGAAACTGAGGTGCAGAGAGGGGAAAGGCCTAGCCCCGGATCACTGAACTGGTGAGCAGTAGCAGATGCCCTCCACTGTGCCTCCCGGTCTCCGTTCCACTGTTCGCAGTCTGCTGGTGAGCTGCAGTAAGGGCCGCTCCAACTTAACGCAGAAACCTCATCTGAACCCCTGGCTGACCCACAAGCGCTTCCCTCTCCTGGCCTCCACAGGCCCTGGTGAAGGTCTTGGCCAGTCTGAGAACAGCTAGGATACTGACCAGATATTGGAAGGTCAAAGACGAGAGGTACCCGAGACACCAAAATACCCCAGCAGCAATGTTTTTGTGGCAGTTTTGCCAAAGCGCTCTTTCTATCTCTTTGATGTTAAACAGAGGGGAGGGCTCGCTGACTAGGGGAGGGGGGAGGGATGTGCTGTAAATGAAGGGAGTGTAAAAATACATCCATTAAAAAAAGAAAAGAGAAAAACAGCATGAGAGAAGAGACGAGGTGGGGCATTGGGATCATGCACTTGGCAAACACTGGCTTGGTGGCTTCACGTGCAGAGTCCTGTGATGAGCAGCTAGGTGCCAGGCCAGAGGCAAGGCCTAGATGAGCCCCCTGGTACCAGCCCTCATGTGGGGAGCAAGATGAGCTCCAGAGGCCCCAGAGGCCCAGGCCACGCCACCCTTCCCTCTCTGAACAGGGCTTCTAGCCCTCGGCCTCTAGCCCAAACAGCCTCGCCAGGAAGAAGCCACTTGGTTCCCTGAGAGGGCATGACCTGCCCAGGGAACAACCAGTCTCCACCCACCCCAGCACTGTGTGCACCTCTCTGATGCACAGTAGCTCATGAATATATGAAGTATTGGGGGGGGCGCCACAGTATAGGAAGGACATTGAACAACTGCCTTCCAGTGTCTGGGTGGCTGCTGGGGGGAGCGGTGTTAGCCCTGCTCTGCTTAGCACAAGGGGCTGCCTTGGGAGGTGGTGAGCTCCCCGTCCCCAGAGATCTATGAGCAGAAGCTGGCTGGTCACTTGTCAGGGATGTTACAGAGAGGATTCCTGCTCAGGCTGGACTACAGCAATTCTGGCCTCTGGCTGTGTGACTGAGTGTCTTGGATAAGGGAGATGAGGGCAGTTGGGACCCTCCCCTCCAGCCCCCAGCAGCACCGCCACAGGGGCCGGCTCAAAGCAGGCACCCAACAAGTTTCTTCCCCTACAAAATGAGGTGATTAGAGGCCTTGAGGACAGCCTGAGAGAGGAGGAGCAGGGCATGGCAGACAGGCTGAGAGCCTGGGGGAGATGACCGCCTGGCTGCTGGCCCACTCACTTGTACGTCTGGTAGCTGTTGCGCACCCTGATGCCTCCTTTGATGAAGCTCACCATGTTCTCATCCTGTGGGGCAGAAGCATCAGCGTGGGTCAGGAGCTCCAGAGAAGGGGGCACGGGTTTGTGTGGGGATAGAGGACCAGGGAGGGAGCTGAGACAGGTTGCGGTCAGTGGCCTAGAGGCCAAAGGCAGTCATGGCATCACACAGGATGGTACAGGCCCTGGTACTGCCAGGTTCATCCAAAGGGCCATGTCCCCAGGCTGACCACAGAGAAGGAATTCCTCCCACCACAGAGGTGCCTAGCCTGGCTACTAAGTCTTGGGAACAGAGGAGCAACACCCTCTGGCTAGAAGGGACGGACCTTCCAGGCCCTGAGAGGTCATGGAACTTGCTCAGGGTCACACAGGTGGTCACTGGCAGGGCTGAGATTTGAACCTGAGACTTCTGACTCCAGCCAATACTGCCATCTGTTACAAATAAGGCTGGGGCCCATCACCATCCTCCCCCACCCCAAGCCTGGCACCGGAGATGAGGTTTGGCCACAGGAGTTCCCAGTGTCATTTGTGACGTGGGGGGCTGTTGTGTACACAGGGGTGTGGGTGGAAAGGTCGGCGGGCCTCCAGCCTACCTGCAGGAAGGTCAGAGCAGCTCTCTGCAGGAGGCACTCAGCATAGCATACTTCAGCGTGAATTTCTTCTGGGGGAGAGAAAACCCACAGGCCGGGGTGGGGGATGGGTCTATGCATCCCAGCTAGGCTGCCTGCCCCCCCCCCCAGCTTCCCCTGCCCCACAGGATGGTGCCAGGGCAGCCCTACATCACTAAGCCAGACCTGAGCAGGGCTGCCCCCTGTCCCTGGCTCTGCCAAGGCCTGGGGACCCTTCATGGAAGAAGCTGCGGGGCTCTCTGATGTCCACACCACATGGATTCAGTCCCAGGCACTGGGGACCTTGGGGGGCCAGCCTTCAACAGGGAAGTCAGCCACTTCCCCAAATAAGAGTAACAAGGAATTAATAATGACAATAATAATATTTACGTAGCACTTTATGGGTATAAAAAAAGAAAGTCTGCAAACATTAGCTCATTTGAACCTCCTAGCAAATAGAGGCAGAGCAAGAGGATCCTGATCCCCATTTTACAAAGGAGGAAACTGAGGCACCAGGCAGTTACTGACAACTGGTCACGGGATCTGGAACTCAGAGCTGGTCAGGGTTAAGTCTGAGCCCCCACCTTAAGGATGAGGACACACGCCCAGAGAGGAGGTAGCAGGACCAGGACTCCAGCCCAGGCCTCTGACTCCGCCAGGCCCTACTCCTCCTCCCTGGGCACAGACACAGAGTCAGTCTCATTTCACCATCTCCTCTTGCCCCTCTCTGGTATCTTTGAAGATGCGGTTGTTTCTGAACCAGAGCGCATCCAACCCAGGCCCTCATCTTACCGAAGAGGAAACTGAGGCCCAGAGAAGTTAAGGGGCTGGCCCACGGCCACACAGCCAGCATCAGAGACTGGACCATTAGTTTTCTCTTAACAATAACAATTAACCACCACAACAATACAATCACAGAATTGGAGGGTTAGCAGCGACCTTGGAGGAAGGCATCCTCGCTGTGGCCTGCCAAGTGGTCTCTGGGCCCTCCCTCTCATCGTTGGAAGTCTGTCCTGATGCAGCCTCTCCTAAGCCCACAGCTCCAGGGGCTGCCCCTGGGCCTTCTGTCTCCAGGCTAATGGTTCCTTTAATTGTTCTCTCCCAGGCCTCAAACTGGAGGACTTTCACCACACTGGCAATTTAGGCACAGAGCCAAGCCCTCCCGGGAGGGGATGCTGCCTCCCAAAGAGAGCTCCCACAACTTGGAGGTCTCTAAGCAGAGGCCAGACAGGAATGATGCTCATTCAGACACGGGCTGGGCTAGAACCTCCCTGAGGTCCCTTCTGGCTCTAAGACTCTCTAAGATTTCTGGCCTCCACACCTCATTAAGACAATCCACAGACACACTGGGGCTGCCAAGCAGGGTCTTCAGGAACGAAGTGACAGATCCCTGGGCATCATCGCAGAGCCCCTTCTCAATGACCTGGAGTCATCCCTAGGTCCAGGGACTAGGCATCAGGGGACCCAGGCTCTGGATCTGCCTCTGCCTCTTCCTCGTCACGTGACCCCATTGGCTAAGCCCCTTCCCCTCCCTGGGCCTTGGCTTCCTCAACTGGAAACCTAGACTGAACGATCTCTGGGAGCCCTTCAACTGCAAGGTTCTAGGGTTCCGGGGTCCACCGAGAGGCTCACAGCGGTGTGCTGAAGGGCGGCGGGCTGTTTGCCTCTGCACACTTCGTATTGGGTGAATCTGGTCCCCTTGATGTCTCCTCCCTGGCCGCCGGCTGCTGCTTCTCAGGGCGGGCTCCTAGAAACCTGTTTCTTGCTCCCTCCCCCCCAACAACTCCTCCATTAGTAACGGGGCCAACGATCATCCACGGGGCACCTGAGCGTTGGCCAAGCTCTTCAGCTCCCTGGCTACTGTGCAGGCCCAACTGTAACCCTGCTCTGGGCTGCAGGGGGCACTGCCATGCTGAAGGAGGAACATGCATGGGCTTCCTGACAGCTCACTTCCAGCTCCTCAGCCCAGGTGTGGATGGCTGAGGTGGCAAGTACTCTGGCTGCTGAATGCACAAGGGCCTGGGGCACCACCTGCCCCTTTACAGGGGGCAGGTCTGCTAGAGCCTTCCCTCTAGAAACGGGCAGCCTGCTCAGGCCCTGCCCTTCAGGTGGGAGGGCCCGGGTGAGGACCGCCTCACCTTCGGTGAACTGGTCCAGGGTAGGACGGTGCATGAGGTTGCTGAAGGAGCCCGCTACAGATATTTTCTTTCGGTGCCTGTGGGAAGAGAAGAGGGGTCCCAGGGCTGTGAGAGAGGGCACCTCTGTTCTGAGGCCCCTCCCAGGCCTGACATTCTCTGCTTTCTTTTTCCCATGAACCCTCCACGACTAATGGCTTCTGTTTTAGTCAGCTTTGACACAGATTGGTCCCTTCTGCCCTCTGGACCTCGGTTTCTCCATCTGTAAAAGGAGGGAGTTGGCCCACTTCTGGTTCCCTTTCAGGAAATGGCTTCATGCAGAGTTCCTGGGAATACATGGGGTTGTGGTCCCACATTGGCCTCTAACACACCCCAGGGCCCAGGATTCGGGCCCCAAGAGGTGGGGGGATTGGTAATTTAGGCCTCATGTCAGGAGAAACTTTCTAGTGAGCCAAGCAGTCCCCTCAGGGAGCTCCCAGTCCAGTGGGGGAGGAGGAGGAGGTCAGAGAAGACCACAGACAACTACAGGCTTTGTGAATCATCAAGGCCCCAGAGAGGGACAGACTAAGTGCCCCTTAGCGCAGGGAGAGACGAGTCTTCCAGGTGGAAGGCTCAGAAACAAGGACAGGCCAGAGCAGAGGGGCTCTTTACCTTGGCCCGTGACCTTGCTCTTCCTACCCTGTGGAGCACTGCATTTCCATGTAATGGGTTTCTTTGGTCAGTTCTCATGTTTTATTTCATGCATTACAGACCACCACTGTGAGGCTGCATCCCAGGGCTTCCAAGGGGTCCAGGACACCCCAGATCTAGAACCCAGGGCCAAATCTAATAAGATGAAATTCATCGTATAAATGCAAAGTCTTACACGTGGAGTCCAAGAGTCAATGGCTGCGTCTGGGATGGCTGGACAACAACTTGTCTGAAGATGATCAGAGGGGTTGAGTGGCCCTCAAGATCAACAGGAGTCAGGAGGGTGATGATGCAATAAGAGAAAGACCATGTCTGGCACTAGGGAGGAGCTGGTTCCTCTGCCCACAGGACAGGAAGGACGCTGATACATCCTCGAGGGCCCAGAGGAGGGCCACCAAGATGGGGAAGGGTCCTGAGTCCGTGCCACCATGTAATAATAACAGCTAGAATTTACACAGACTTTAAAGTCTGCACAGAGTTGCATCACCTCATTTGATCCTCACAACAATCCTGAGGAGGTGCTATTATGACCCCCGTCTTAAAGAAACTGTAAACTGAGGCAGCCAGCAGTGAAGAGACTTGCCCAGGGTCACACAGCTACGAGGTGCCAGAGGCAGCATTTGATCTGGGGTCTTCCCAACTCCACTGCGCCCCACCCCCAGCTGCAGACGAGGGTCCCTTGGGCTTCCCTCCCCCAGGAAGCCTACTTGGGGGGAACCAGGGGAGCCAGGCACGGCCTTAGGGAAGCGACCTCTGAACTGAGCCTCAAAGTGAGCCAGGAGGCCGATGTGAGGAGGGAACGAGTTCCAGGCGTGGGGGACAGCCAGGACAAAGGTCTGGAGATAAGAGAGGGGCTGTGGTGCTGGAGGATCGGCAGTTTGTGGAGTAGGTGGGGAGATTAACGTGTGAAGAGACCGGGAGGCCAGAAAGGTGGGCCTGCAGTCAGAAGCCCCGGGTTCAAGTCTTGCCTCCTGGCTACATGACCCTGGGTTAAGTCCCAACCTTTCCGATCCTTAGTCTCCTCATCTGTCAAATGGGCACGTTAGTAACGGGGCTACTTCCCAGGGTTGTGAGGAGGCTCAAAGGATGGTAAAAGAGCTTTGCAAACCTTCAAGGGCTAGAGGCTAGACCTGGGATTTCATGGTCAAGAGGAGCTCCCTCTTTGCAGTTTGGAGTCTCAGAGCTGCTCAAAGCACCTGGATGTTCAGTGACTTGCCCAGGGTCACACACAGAATATGCCCTACCTGGGTCCCAGGTCAGGTACTTCTTAGCTCTGAAGCCACTTCTTTATCCATTATCAGCCAGATAGCACAGTGGACAGAACAATGGGCCTGAAGTCAGGAGGACCTGGGTTCAAATCCCACCTCAGACATATACTAGCTCTGGGACTCCGGGCAAGTCACTCAATTTGCCTCAGTTTTCTCATCTGGAAAATGGAGATAGCAGCACCTATCTCCCAGGTTTGTTGTGAGTGTCAGATGAGATAATATTTGTAAAGCGCTTAGCACAGCAAGGCACATAGTAGGTGCTCTATAAACACTAGTTATTATTATTACTCCATGCTGTCTTTATGCAAACCTTAAAGTGATACACACCTCTCACTTACTATGACAATTATTCTCTAAGCCTCAGTTTCCCGGACTATCACAGGGGTGTGCTGGGACCCCACAACCTGGAGAGTCGATGGACTGTGAATGTTTGGTGTGAGCTTTTACACCTCCGAAATCCACAAGTGCCTCAAGTTGGGATTTGACTGGTTGTTTCATTGATCTTCTAGACTTGAGAAAATGTTAACCATGCAGGTTAAACTTTAAAGTATGCCCTGCCTTTTCAGACAGCTGGTTGTTAAACATTTACCAGCACACCGCTATCTATGAATTGCCTCCTTCACAGGGTCATTATGAGGAAGGAACTCGCAGCCCTGGGAGGGAGCTGCTACATAAGTCATCTGACCAGACCACTGGCTGTTCCTTCCTGGAACATCCAGTGCCCTCGCTGGTGCAGGCCACCCCCGTCTGGCTCCAGGAGGTAATTCATGATGTGAATGACCTAGGACCAGTTTCCTGGTGATCAGGAAGCCTTTAATGAGTTTCATCAGCAAACGGCTCTGCCCTAGTGTAGGGGAAAGGAGGCAGCTGCTGCCCAGCTTGCCAGGCAACCACTGACCCGGCCCAGGAGCTGGGGCCCCTGGCGCTGGGGGGTGGTTTTCTGAGCTGGAGCTCGACGCTGGAGGGCTGGGAGGGGCAGCAGAATTGGCCCTGCCTTTTGCTGAAACCATGGAGGCCCCACAGGGCTCAGAGCAGGAGGGGCCCTTGGGGTCATCCTACCTCACCGCCTCATTTTACAGAAGAGGGACTCAAGGCCCAGAGAAGACTAGTAACTTGCCCAAATAGCAGAGCTGAGAGTCTCCAAAGCCCTGGCTGCTTCACCTTAGTTTTCCCAGTACTGGGTACAGGGCCCTGCACACAGCAGGCATTCAATACATGTTAGCTGAATTGAGTCAAACTGCCTTGAACCCAAAGACACCTCTGTAACCCGGAGAGGGTCTTCCGCATGCATTTTTCCCTTGCAAGGAGCTATTCTTTTTTTTTTTTTTCCTGCAAGGCGATTGGGATTAAGTGACTTGCCCAGGGTCACACAGCTAGTAAATTTCCAGGGTCTGAGTCCAGATTTGAACCTAGGTCCTCCTGACTCCAAGGTCAGAGCTCTACCTACTGCGCCACCTAGCTGCCCCACAAGGAGCTATTCCTGCACAAACTCCAGATGGCTCAGACATCAGGAGAGCAAGGTGGAACACTAGGAGCAATGGGCAGAGCCAGAACTAGGGCAGGGCAATCAGAGATTTGCCCTAGGGCACAAATAACATTTACACTTGTTCTGGAGCATAGAAACAGCTGAGCACAATGGCTACCTATTAAAATAACTAATTCTAATTAGCTGAATGTTGGGAGATGGAAGGTTTCCTCCCCTGTGCCATGCCTATAGTCCTGAGGCCTCCCTAGCTACCTTGCCATGAAGGGCCAGGACCCCAGGTTGTACATTCCACCTGAGTTTGTCTTGAAAAGCTAATTTGCTGGTACATTTCATGCTGCCTGTGTCAGGTGCCAACAACACTAGTTATAGCTCTGGCCATCGGCATCTCGTGTTGACAGCCATGTGAGGCAGAGATTCTGGACTTCTGAGAGAATAGGATCCAGGTCCTCAAAGAGTAAGGACAAGGCAGGAGAACAAAGCAGGGGCTGAGTTTCTGGCCACAGACTGTGTCTTGAATTATTAATTCAATTATTATTGACACAAAAGGTGTCTTGAATTATTAATGGTCGGGGGGGGGGAGCTAGGTGGCGCAATGGATAGAGCACCAGCCCTGAAGTCAGGAGGACCTGAGTTCAAATCTGGCCTCAGACCAAACACTTGACACGTATTAGCTGTGTGACCCTGGGCAAGTCACTTAACCCCAATTGCCTACGCAAAAAAAAAAAAATTATTAATGGTGGGATTTCAGCATGGTGACTGTCAGGATGAGAATAACGAGGGTTTTGATCAAGTGGGTTTTTACTTACTCTGAAATCACATCCCACTGGGCAGTTGTCTAATGTGCTTCTGTACGGGGTCAGTCTCATGAGAAGCAGGGAATGTTAGAGTGGGAGGAGATGCCTCCCATGACCCTTCACACTGTCCTGCAACAAGAAACCCCTCCCCCGACACCCCCAGTGCACTCCCCACCCCTTACTTCTGGCACAGGGTCTGGGCCTCCTTCATCATGTTGCAGGCGGTCAGGATGTCCTGGGGGTCAAAGGTCATCATGGCTTGCATTTCTAAGATGGTGGCATAGGTCAGGGAGTGGTACATGCTCTCCTTGGTTCTGTGGGGAAAGAAAGAAGGTGGAAACTGTGAGAAGAGATAAGCCACATGGCCACCATCGGCTGGGCCCTGGAAGGCCTGGCTCTGACTGAGGGCTGCATGGGCAGCTGGACAGAGTAAGCACCAAATGGGGGTAAGCCCAGGACCCCCCATCCAACAATAAGAGTTCTCATCAACACAGCATTGTAAGGTTCGTAAAGTGCTTCACATACATGATCTTGCTGTATCCTCAAATGGTTTGTGGTTATCCCCATTTTGCAGATGAAAAAACTGAGGCTCAGAGAGGCCAGAGTCTGAGGTAAGATCCGGACCCAGGTCTGCCTGACCCCAAGCTGAGCTTGGAGTCCTCTGTACACACAAGTATTTGCTATCATCGGTCATCAACAAGGCATTCAGACAGCCAGAATATAAGCTCTGTGAAGCCAGGGACTGGCTCCTGTCTTTGTATCCTCAGCACCTACTATAGCACCTGGTACATAATCAACCAACAACTGAGCATTTATGAAGTGCCTACTATGTGCCAGGCACTATATGAGGCACTACGAATACAAGGAGTCTAACAGGTGCCTGCTAATGGGCTTGTTCTTGGCATAGGAGGTACCTAATAATGCTCAGGAGCTTGAGTACAGCAGGACTGCTCAGACCCAGGCCTCCAGACCAAGTGACGGCCTGGCATTCTCAGTTGTAAAGTGGTTAGTAAAGTGTTCGTAACACCACCACTTGCTCCTGGGTGTTCAGGGTCTGTGACTCCACCGGTGGGGGCTCGCCCTCTCTTCTCCCAGTCCCTCCAGAGCAGTCCTGGCTGCCCTGGGGACAATCTTCACCATCAGCCTTAGTCAGGAGGGGCCTCAGGAGTCAGACAAATGGTAGGTGAACCTGGGGGGGCCAATACACCAAACGGGTGGGCGGGGGGCCCCATCTCCAGGAAAAGCAGCAGCAGGGAGCCCTCCAAGGCCTGGAAGAACCTGCTCCCTCTGAAAGGTCCTGCCTGTAGCTAAAATTATCATAGAAAAAAAGGGCTGGGCCTGGAGTCTGGCTTCCCAAACCCACATGAATAAGTATGTGCTGAGTAAATACAAAAGATAGAACAACTGTCTGGGGATGGGGAAAGGCTCTGGCAGCTCAAGGAATCGGGGTGGCTTCAGGTCAAAGCTGAGCTCTGAAGGAAACTAGGAATTCTAAGAGGTGGAGGTGAGGAGGGACAGCCTGGGCAAAAGTCTGGGGACAGCAGTGTGAGAGACAGCCTGAACCAGTGCAGGGCTGCCGAGGCAGTGGACGTGGTTGTTCTAGGACTCTGGCTGAGGGGAAGCATGGGCAGGCCAACAGACTGAGAGGGTGGTGGGGCCTAAGGTTGGGGGAGACCTGGGCAGGTTCGAAGGCAATAGGGAAGGGACTCATAGATAGGGAGGGTTTGAAAAGAAGGGCATGAATGGAAGATGCAATCTGCCAGGACAGAGGAGACAGGATCTAGCGGCCTTGGCCAAGACCAGGAAGGGACAAGAGGAAGACAGAAAACAATGGGGGAGAAGGTCAAGGGAGTGGGTCTTCACCAACAGCCTCTATTTTCTCAGATGTGTATAACAATAATAACAGCTAACACTTATATAATGCTTACTGTATGCCACGCTCTGGGTTAAGTGCTTTACAAATATCTCATTTGGGCCTCACCGCAACCTGCAAGGCAGGGGCTGTTAGTGTCCCCATTTTACAGGTGAGAAAACTGAGGCCAACAGAGGTAAATGATTTGCCCAGGATTACACAGCTATGAAGTATCTGAGGCTCCAGGCCCCGCCCTGAAACCCCCCCCCCGCCCACATACACACCCATCTTAGAGAAAGTCTTTAGCTGAGAGGGTAGGGGCAGGAGATGTGAAGAGAGAGAAGAGTATTTGGAACCACCACTATGGAGAGGGGACGACCAAATGAATGAGGGTGCATCAAGTGCCTACTGTGTGCCAAGCAGTGACAGGAGTGACACGGGCAGCATGTTCTGGTGAAGAGGGCCCTAGTTTGGGAGCCCAGAGACCTGGGTTCAAGTCCGACCTCCTCGGTCAATGAGGGGTCTCTGCGGCCCTGCCCAGCCCTGGCACTCAGGTCCCTGTGCCCCCCTTAAAGCTCTGACTTTGGATCTCAGTGGCAGACCCGGGGCTTGGCTACAGATCCCATGTTCCCGACCCCCACCAGCAATGAGCCCTGAGGGCAGGCTTCCTGGAGGAAGGAGGCCTGAGCTGAGTCTTTGGGGGCAAGGAGAAGGTCAGCATCTCTCAGGGATTCCCAGAACCCATGACTCTCTCTCTACAGGACCCACTCCCCCCCATCCTCCCTCCAGTCACCCTGGTTCAGAAAGGACCTCAGAAGTCATCTAGTTCACCCCCTCATTTTACAAAGGAGGAAGCTGAGGCCTGGGAGGGGGAAGTGATTTATCTCAGGTCACACAGACAGGATTTGAACCCAGCCCTCTGAGCTCTGCAGTGAGGGCTCTTGCTTCACACACACCCTGAAATTTCCCACCTTCACCAAGGTCCTACCAACTCCCAAGTCCAAGCTTGCTCTCCCATCTCTCACCACCACCCCACTGGCCCAGGCCCCACCCTACTTCAGGGCCTGGGGCCTAGCCTCGGCTATGCCCGTGAGTCTACTGGCACTGCTATCTTCACAGCCCACCCTCACCCCCACCCTGAGGTCAGCAACACAAAGATTTTATCCTGATTTGACAGGGGAAGTGACTTGTCCACGGTCACACACACAGCAGGAGGGCTCTCCTGGCTGCCAGGCTGGGGCCCTGCCCACCTCACCCACTGCTTCCTTGGACTCAGTGAAGGTTTGGGGGTGGGGCGGGGTGGGGGTGGGGAGGGAGCACTCCCTGGCAGACCTGCTCCATCGCTAAGGCTCTGCCTGCCCTGAGCAAACAGAAGCCAGTTTGTTTAGCTCCAGCCCTGGAGCCTCACCCACCTTATCCTGAGGGGCCCCACCCCCTGGCCAGACTGCCCCGGGACCCAGCCCAGGGACCCAGGGGCCTCTCGGAAGTGGTCCCCTGCAAAGACCCCAGGCAGAGCCAGGCTAGAGCCTCGGGGAACAGCCTGATAAGCCTCAGCAAGGTCCTCCTGACCTGGGACACCCACCCCAGGCTCTTTGCCCCTCAGTCAGACAACTCCTCTCATTAACCCTTGCTGAAGCAACGGAGTTGGAGTCAGGAAGAAGCCTGCCTCAGACGCTTCTTGGCTGCAAGTGTGGCCCCGGGCAAGTCATTTCACCCTGTCTTAGCCTCAGTTTCCTCATCTGTAAAATGAGGATAGTAACAGTACCTCCCTCCCAGGGCTACTGTAGGATCAAATGAGATCCTATTTGCAAAGCCCTCTGCCAACCTTAAAAGGCTCCACAATGCAGGGCATAGTGATAAAGATGATGGCAGGTATTCTTTCTTGGGCCTAAAGCTTTGCAAAGTCCTCAGGATCTCACCTGGACCTCACAACATGCCGTCGATTTAGCTGTTCCAGGCGTTATTATGCACCTCTTTACCCACGAGGAAACTGAGGCTCAGAGG